ACTCATACGTAAACATGGTTACAAAGATTTAAGGGTAAACAATAATCAAAGCATGGTATAATCACAAGTAGGATGTTCATCATTGCATGTAATTTTATTTGTAAACAAAACAATTTCGCAATTGGGATCAACATGTTCAAGGAATAGTGATGACTTGCCTTGCTCAGGATAATCCTTATTATTGATATAATCTTGATCAACCTTCACCTCCTGGAAGTTGCAGACGTTGCCTCACGACTAACCGATACACAAGGTCTATAATACGCGAGAAAAACCAATATTCAAACAACAATCAAATATGCGCAACAAAATGTACTATTCGTGTTTGCTAATGGATCCCAATCATGCTAAGGCTAAAGTTTCTTAATTTTTCTATTGTCATCGTGGCCTATTTAGGAGTTAACCAACATAGCATTTATGGGATACATATATATTTGGCTAATCGGTGGTTTAGTCTATCAAATGGCTATAGAAGGATTATGGCTATGTATGCATCTATCTAAATAGGACGGTTATATACTAGAGGTTCTGTTGTTAGATGGATTTAGGATCAATCAAACAATTACAGTGAATTATTTGTATTATTATTTTATTGATGGAAACTTTACTTTAATTATGAACATATTTTACTTGCCATTATAAATTATAAAAGGGCTAATAATTATCCATGCTCTATATGTTAAATTCGGGAAGTTTATAATATTATAGTTACAGATTATCTCTTAATGAACAATCCGGAGTTACAATTGAACTATGATCATATGAGGTCAAGATTTATAATTAGTACTTATCTACTATTCATGTTTGTTATATACTCCCTAGTTTAATATATGAAAAAGATAAATTAATTGTATAACTATAATGGGATGTACAATATGTGTGCAACAACGTATAAGGTTTTGGTCGCCTACTGTACATGAGCTTATTTAGAAAGTGTACTACCCAAATGCTCCAAGTGATTCCTGAATATAATGTAGTTTAATTATACATTAGCTAGTTTCTATGAGTGATATTGTATATGTGATGCGACAAGTTTAAGCACTGGTTCTATTGGGTTACTAATAAGTGGTAATCAATTTAGGCATATATATGCTATTCTATATGGTATTGCATCGATTAATTTACTTAGTGATTCCTCCACATCTAGCTCTGTTATTATTCTCCTAAACAGGTTAAAGATTCATCTATGTGTGTTTATATTTTAGTTACATAATCATAAGGCTATACTTGATTTAAATAACCTATAAGCCATGGATTTAATTATATGGCCATCGAATATTAAATAAGTACTAGTATTTTCCTATACATCCATTCATTTGAGACATCACATAAAATTAGTTTGTGTGGTTGTTACAGTGGCAAGACATGTTAGAGACAAATATTATTACATCCACTCTACTGTACAATACTAATTTTATTTATTAGCATATTTTTAAGTTGACTATTATGCATCATCTTGATATTAATTATTTAATATTTATAAATATATTTTATCAAATAGTGAGTTATATATCATTGGAAAGCTTATGAATTTAGATGAATTTAGGTTCAAGTTTCACTCAAATCGGAGCTGAAATGAGTAAGTTATGCTAGTGTAAAGATTCAAATTTGAATTAATTCTAATAATTGAGAAATGGTACTGTTCCTAATTCATTTATTTATAATACAACCTTATCCACAAGCTATAGTGACTGACAGGTGGGGTCAAGGTCTTGATTTTCTTTTCTACAGAATTATTTTTCTAAGGGAAATTGGATGGAATTAATGACAGGTGGGGCCCACTCTAACCTCTCTCCTCCATTCTCTTTTCTCTCTCTCCTCTCTGTTTTCTCCTCTCTCTCTCACGGCCTCGGCTAGAACCGGCGGGCGGCACGACGCGACGGCAAGCGGTGGGGGAGGGGGAGGCTCACCAGTTCGGCGGCGGGGTCGACGGAGACGCGGCGGCGAGGTCGACGGCGGAGCACGGTGCGGCGACGAGGCACATCGCGGCGGCGGGGCGCGTCGGCTCAGCGGCGGCGGCGGCGGCTTCCAACGAGGCGGCAACGCCGGGGATGGGAAAGAGAGGGAAAAGGGAGGAGAGGTGGTGGGGGTAGTGTGGGGAGCAATGGGCAGCCGGGGAGGGGCTTATATAGGCGCGGGGAGGGGTGGCCGGCTTTAAATGACGACGGGACGGCGCGGCGGCGTGGGGCTCGGGGCGACGGCGGGACGGCGCGGCGCAACGGCGACAGTGCGCGGCGCGGGCGGGGCTCGAGGCGCTGATGGCGACGGCGGTGACGCGAAGGCGTGGTAGCATCACGGGGCTCGGGGCGCGGCAGCGGCTCAGGGCGACGGCGATGGGACGGCCGCGCGGCGGGGCGCAGGTGCGAGGCAGCGAGAGGACGGGCGTGCGGCGGCTCGGGGTGCGAGGCCGACGGCGACGGCTCGCGGCGCATGGCGATGGCGACGCGATGGCGGCGACGGGAGTGGCGCGGGGCTCGGCGCGGCGCAGCCGACGGTGACAGGCGATCATGACGATGCGACGGCGATGACGACGGCGCGCGGCGCGGTGATGATGGCGACGTGACGGCGACGGCGCGCGGCGGCGATAGCGGCGCGCGGGGCGCGAGGCGGCGCGACGGCGCGCGGCGGCAGCGGCAGAGCGAGGCGACGGCGACGGCGACGGCGGCGCGGGGCGCGAGGCGGCACGCAGCAGTGGGCGGCAGCGGCGCGGCGCGGCGCGTGCAGGGGCACGGGGCGCGAGGGGGAGCGCGGCAGTGGAGGGGGGAAGAAGGGCTAGGGAACCACATCAAACACCTAGGCCATAATGAACAGTGATTTTTTCCTAATTATCCACTTTTGAGGCCTATTTCCTATTAAAACTTGTCCCATAATTTCTAGATTTCACACAATTAGAGTTTTGCCCAATATATGTTTTATTTTAGATGAAAGTTGACCAAAATTTAATATTACCCATATTTTATATATTTTCCTATTGTATTATTTAAATGAGGTTTAAATCTAAAATTAACCTAGATAATTTTGGAGGCTTTGAGGGTTCTAAAATTAATTTAAAATATCCTAATGTGGCCATTATTATTACAATAGCACATTGAATGAACTTATTTGTATAACAATGCATTTTACGTGGGTCTACTCATTCTATAAATATAAATTGAGACTTAGTACAACATTAATCTAATTGTTTAATTAAACACTCACATATTCTTATTTATGTATAAAGCCTAATTTATTTATATGACCATTATTTTATATGAGTGATTTTCATGCTATGAGGAGCTTGATAAGGTGTTTCAAATATTAATTATATATTCTAGTGAGATACTCTATTATAGATGGGGCCATTGATGTGATCATCATTTCATGTGTACTTATATTTCATGTGAGATTGGATTCAAGTGAATTATATTCAACTATGTTGTTTCCTTTTGTTAAATATGAAATCAGGCTATCAACATGGTTTGATTATTTAATATTTGATTTGTGATTTATACCACAGGGTTTAATAATTGACTTGTACTTTATTTGGCCTGGCTTTCATGTGCATAAATATTTATGGGATTGATAATAAATATCGTATCGTTGTAAATCGTAACTATTGCTCGGGTGTAAATCTTTAGATTGATTTTTTTCCATTGCGTCGATTTATGGTTTGGCAAGCAATAACAACCATAACTTCCAGCATGATGCAAAAAGTTTAAAAAGTTCGAAATTTTAGTGATTTTTAATGTCAGGAATTTTCAGGATGTTACAATTTAGAAGTTAATGAGATTCATTAAGATATGAGCAATTCTAAAAAGTCTTGCAATCTTAAACGGAGGGAGTATTGTATGAGAGAAAATACAATGATGTTAGCCGTGCAATCTGCTCGGGCCACCATGCTAGTTTCTAATAAATATATCAAAAAAGTAAGTACTGACATATATTTATAAAGCTGTAATGGCACGACTTGAATTTAGCGAATTGTAATTATATATTTTAAACACATGAGAAATTATAATTGCATGACCCAATTAACCCTTTAATTTTTACAACTTAATCCTATAATAAATAATTTAGTTTGTTTTGTTGTCTTCTTCGGTCTTTACTTTTAGCCCACTAAAAAAGTAAAATTATAAAAGTCTTCCCCCTTTGAAACGTGGAATTTCTTATAAGGCAAAAACGAAAACAATACATGTTTGGAGTGCCCTAACACCTCAAATTCTATGGATTATAAAAACATAGGAAAAGATAACCATTTGAATAGTACGCGGAAAGACACATGAATTAGACAAGAAGATAGACACAAAATATATTTTTTAAGAGGTTGAGCTATGTTTTTTCTCATGTTAGAATTTTTTTAAAATTCGCACGTTTTGAGCCCCAAAGGAATTTCATATGATTTTTTTATAACCATTCCTATGATTCAAATGACCGCATAAGAAATTTTGTACAAGACTAAATTCCTCTAAAATTTGTTAAAAAATCTTTTATTCCAAAAGAACCCTGAAAGTATTTCATCGTTGATTCGGTCGCGTGTCTATACTAGTAGCTTGTAAGCTGAGGCAGTAAAAATTACCTTCGCCGCAGATCATCAAGAAAGTACTAACAACAACGCCGTTTACCAGAAGAATTGACTGAAGTCCTCCAATCTAACCACCGTACCAACCATGAACCACTGTACAACCAGAACATAATGTACTTGCCGAGTGTAAACCACCAAAACAGCCGTCAAAGTCCGAAAGGTTTTTTTTTTGCAGTCAATGTATCTGCATTGACCGACTAGTCTCACTATAAGTCTACAGTAATTTTACTAGCAGTACTACAATAAACTCGCGTTTTTATTTTCTGCAGACTGCAGCAGAGAGGAGAAATACGAGCAGATAAAACATAACTAGGGGCGTAAAAAAGACGACGCTACGCTACAGTACAGAGCCGAGATTGAAAACGATAGAGGGAGAGAGAGGGGGAGGGACCCCCCCCTTCTTTTTAAACCTTTTTTATGTTGCACGCATCCAGGGAGAGGATTGGCAGTGGAGAGAGAGAGAGAGAGAGAGAGAGAGAGAGAGAGAGAGGTGTCCATAGCAAGCAGAGCAGGAGCAGAGCCAACTGCACAAGGCAAGGCAGGGGGCCTCTCCTCGCTGTTCTACTGCTGCTATACTCTGGCATCGCGTCGCGCGCGCAAGCAAAAGGGTAGTTCCTCAATCAAACGCTCCAAGAGAAATCACCCCGCCACGCCACGCCGCGCCGGGCTGGGCTGCTGCTCCCAGATCTCGCCGAGCGGGGCGCTCGATTATGTGGGATTAGGTAGATGAGGGCGGCGCTGTTCGGTGCCGAGAGGAGCGGGGTAGTGGACCACGGCGGCGGCGATAAGGAGGAGCTGTTTTGGCCGGCGGGGAAGGGGGGGCTGGTGGTGGTGGAGCCGAGGTCGGTGCTGGACTGCACGCGCAGCCCGAGCCCGCCGTATTCCACGTCGACGCTGTCGTCGTCCCTGGGCGGCGGCTCGGCGGACTCGACCGGTGTGGCGGCGGTTTCGGAGAGCAGCACCGCCGCCGCCGGAGCCACCAAATGGGGAGCCCCAGGCGAGCATGGTGGCGGCGGGAAGGAGGAGTGGGGCGGCGGGTGCGAGTTGCCCCCGATACCTGGAGCACTGGATGTGGGGCTCGTCGGGGGCGAGGGCTGGGACGCCACGGCCACGCTCGGCAACGCAGCCGGGCCGGACCAGTCGTTCTTGAACTGGATCATTGGGGCCGCCGGCGACCTGGAGCAGCCTGGTCCGCCGCTTCCAGTGCTCCAGCAGCCGCTTATTGACAATGCGGGGTTCGGGATCCCGGCCGTGGACACCATGGGCTTCTCTCTGGATCACCCCCTCAGCGGCGTCGCCTCCGACCTCTCGTCCTCCGGTGCGCACACTGCCACCGGCGGTGGCGGCAAGGCCTCATTAGGGTTCGGTCTCTTCTCGCCGGAGGCCACCTCCCTCGAGCAGCCGCCGCCTTCGATGCTGTTTCACGAAGGTATCGACACGAAGCCCCCTCTTCTGGGTGCGCAGCCGCAATTTCTCCTGAACCACTACCAACCCCAGCCACCCAACCCCGCCGCAGCCTTGTTCATGCCTCTCCCGCCCTTCCCCGAGCACAATCACCAGTCGCCGCATCTCCAGCCACCGCTCAAACGCCACCACGCCATTCCAGATGACCTCTACCTCGCCCGTAACCAGCAGCAGTCATCCGCGGTGGCGCCAGGTCTCGCCTATTCACCACCGCTACATGGCCCGGCTCCGTTCCAGCTCCATCCTTCGCCGCCACCGATTCGCGGGGCAATGAAGTCGACGGCGGCGGAGGCGGCGCAGCAGCAGCTGCTGGACGAGTTGGCAGCGGCGGCAAAGGCAACCGAGGCTGGCAATTCCGTTGGCGCGCGAGAGATATTGGCGCGGCTCAATCAACAGCTTCCCCAACTTGGGAAGCCCTTCCTCCGCTCCGCCTCCTACCTCAAGGAGGCCCTCCTCCTCGCACTCGCCGACAGCCACCATGGCTCCTCCGGCGTCACCTCGCCGCTCGACGTTGCCCTCAAGCTTGCAGCATACAAGTCTTTCTCTGACCTGTCACCTGTGCTCCAGTTCACTAACTTTACCGCAACACAGGCGCTTCTTGATGAGATTGGTGGCATGGCAACTTCCTGCATCCATGTCATTGACTTTGATCTCGGTGTTGGTGGTCAGTGGGCTTCCTTCTTGCAGGAGCTTGCCCACCGCCGGGGAGCTGGAGGTATGGCCTTGCCGTTGTTGAAGCTCACGGCTTTCATGTCGACTGCTTCTCACCATCCACTGGAGCTGCACCTTACCCAGGATAACCTCTCTCAGTTTGCCGCAGAGCTCAGAATTCCTTTCGAATTCAATGCCGTCAGTCTTGATGCATTCAATCCTGCGGAACTCATTTCTTCCTCTGGTGATGAAGTTGTTGCTGTTAGCCTCCCTGTTGGCTGCTCTGCTCGTGCACCACCGCTGCCAGCGATTCTTCGGTTGGTGAAACAGCTTTGTCCTAAGGTTGTCGTGGCTATTGATCATGGAGGTGATCGTGCAGACCTTCCATTCTCGCAGCATTTCCTGAATTGTTTCCAGTCCTGTGTGTTCCTCCTTGACTCGCTTGATGCTGCTGGTATTGATGCTGATTCTGCCTGCAAGATCGAGAGGTTCCTAATTCAACCAAGAGTTGAGGATGCAGTGATTGGGCGGCACAAGGCGCAGAAAGCTATAGCATGGAGGAGCGTTTTTGCAGCAACTGGGTTTAAGCCCGTTCAGCTCAGCAACCTCGCCGAGGCACAGGCAGACTGCCTCCTGAAGCGGGTGCAGGTCCGAGGATTCCATGTGGAGAAACGCGGAGCTGCTCTTACGCTCTACTGGCAGCGTGGGGAGCTTGTATCCATATCATCTTGGCGGTGCTGATCAGCCATAAGCTTCACTCCACCAAGGTTCCACCACCGTTTGCAAGCATCGACCACTCCAGTAATGTCCATTTATTCTTGCAATTAAATGTTGCAAATGAAATTGTTGTCTTGAGCTGTTGAACTCTTCATATTGCTTTTCGTTGCAGCTTATTAGCTAGCCTAGTGGATTTAGGAATATTGGTGTCAGTCTCTATAGCTAATGATGTTGCTTTAGGTTGTTGCCATGCTCTGCTCAATTAGCCATGATCATCTCATTGGAAACACTGCTTATGAGTAGAGACTAGAGGGTAATTTAACCTATCAAATGGTTGTGTGGTACAGAATTAATATTATACTGCTGTTGCTCTGTAATTCTTTGGGTACGTTAGTTCTGCATTTCCATTGTTATGCATTGAACTGAAATGGATGCACAATGCATACCATTCTAATAGTTAGTGGGGATGGCTATCATAGGACTAAGACATATTGATATAACTACATATGACTTAGTACAGCAATAAAAGGTTTTGCCAAACAGCTCAAATATATTTGGAGTAATAGGTCATAATCAAGTTTCAGAAAGCGAAACAAAGATAATAAATTTCCACGTCATTCTCTCCTTTTTAGTTTGTGTAAGCTGTGCTTAGTAATTTTTGCAGATTAGAATATGATATGCAGAGCAACTACCGGTGTCGTAGTTGATTTTGCATAGCAATTGTGTATCTATCGATCTGCACAAGCTCCTGATTGAAATTCTCTCAAGTAAGTTTGTCTAAACTGGATCAAACCTTAGTTTATAACCCCCTTGACTGACCATCAACGGTACAAGAATGCCAAACGATGTTTCTTTCCACAACAAACAACAAAATAAATTTATTTTGTATCTCTACTCTAGAAATGGATAGCCAATGTGTAAAAATATATTGCCCGTAACATGAGAACTTCACGCTTCACAGTCCATTCAGTTATATTTCCACAATAGACGTAATTCCAGGATAACATGACGAGGGCGAAACTAAAAATGCTTATTGTAACTTCCATGTTATGTCCTGTGACGAGGACACGAGGTATGCATATATTCCCATTGGCGAGATGGTACATAAATCAATCCTTGTAAACTTGTCACCTTGGTTTTAGACCGTATTCCATTTCGGGAGAGGCCTAGTTTTCTTGGTGATATGTTGTAAACTTGTCGGTGTTGGTAATTTGCCGGATTTGCTCCATGTGTATCCCACATCTACTTTGACTCCATTTCACTGCATTACTGGACACTGTAATTGTCATCGTCTGAGTTGTTTCACTCTACAGTGGAGACATTTCTAGGCTATTTTTTTATGCATATCTACTGCTTCAATAATGCACATACATACACCTGCACATACATACACCTCTACCCGTGCTATCATGTGATTGTGTCCTATACCTCGGATTAGAAAATGTGAAGGGCTATTCTATTAACGACTGGAGAGTTGATTAAATTTACTACAGAACTGGGAAAGACCCGGACAAGAACACTGGCTACTATCAGGGCTTATTTCATCTTTGCTCATCTCCCACATGGACGTGTCCCCTCCTGCATGATCGCCTGCCCCTGCATTTCCTTCCATCCATTTACAAAAACTAATCACCTGGAGTCTCAATTATAAAACTAGTTTTTTATGATTTGAAATTTCTGAAACTCCGAATTAATTAATAGAGTTGTACTCGATCTAGATTCTCAAATATTATGTTATACGATTTAACAAATTCTGAATTAATGAACATAAAGTTATACCCCCTTTGAAGTCTTGGGTATAGTGTTTTTATGATTTAACAATACCGGAATTCAGGATTAATATACATTAATAAATATTGTGTTGTAAGGGCAGTTTCAACCCTCCACTTAGGATAGGATGGTGTTTATAGCATTAACTACATTGTCATGTAGGACTTTTAACTTATGTGGCACTATATTAATTAAGAGAGAAATGAAGAGATGAAGAAACTGGGTCTTATGCAAGACACAGCTTTAACACGAGAACCTATGCACTAGACACTATCAAGTTTTGCATTAGGAGAGAATAATGTCTTCATAATAGATGAAGAATAAATATGATTGGTAGAGAAGAGAAATGATATATTTATTAATGGTCCACTTTAAGAAACCATGGGTTGTGGAGTGTAGTTTCTATTGTGGTGTCTTGTTGACATGGCACCATAGACACTACTTATGGATACTGTGGGTTGGGACTGCCCTAAGGCCTCGATTAGTATTTTTTATAATCTAATAATTTTGAAATTCCAATAGTTGAAATTAACAAACACCGAGTTATGCTTAGTTTAGAATCTCGATAATAATATCTCTATGATCGCATAATTCTGAAATCAAAATTAATAAATATTAGTACTAGTTAAAATTGATTGTTTAAAATGTATAGCACGTGCAGGTGCACTACTTGCATAATTGATGGCTAGTTAAAGGGAACGTATTTTATGCGCTTAAGTTTTTCGTGTACATATCATGTATACTAGCTAACAAATTTCAAAAAAAAAATCTAAAATAAAATTATACAGGTACTTTTATTAGTATTACTTATGTGTCAAGTTTTACCTTTAAATTTATTATATTTAGCCTAAAGAAAAGGATAAAATTCCTGACAATTTCAAGAGTATAAATCGGTTCGAATTTTATCTTTTTTTCAATCATATATAAAATAAATTTGAAAATGAGACTTTACACATAAATGTACTACTAAAAGTACATGTACAATTTTTTCTCGTAATTTTTCTAGAAGTTTGTTATGTGTGCACAATGCGGATACGAGAAAACTTATATGCATGGAATGCGTTTACTAATTAAAAAGTAACAACAATGCGAGTGTAAAATATAGGGGTATACCGAGAACTGGCCTGGTCGAAGACGATTTGTGGCTTGATCCTAGCCTGATCCACCATGTTTGTCTGGCCAAGGACCTTGTTTGCTTGCCATACGGAGATCCTCTGCTGCTCACCTGGAACGATCCATCTTTGCCTCGCAAATTGCAATTAGCCTGGGCTTCAAGGCGGCAGCGACGATTTTATGATTACCACGGTAATCTTAATCTCGTAGTACGCCACAAACCGCCGCCGCTGAATCCCGTTTGGCCGGATCCTGCCATGACTTGTCACTCAGATCCCACAACCTACACGAAGCCACTCCCGTAGGTCTCCTTCCCAAATCCTTGACGGATCCGCGAAGCCATCCGCCGCGCAAAGCTCTCGCCATGGCCTGCCGGCTCACCGGATCTCGCCGTCGCCGCGGTTTTGCGCGAAGAAGCCGGAGAGGCACAGAAGTCGATGGCGGCTTGTCCAATCTTTCCGCCCACATTGCTGTAGCCTGAAGCCTGAAGCCGTAATTCCGTAAAGCAGTTGATCGGAAGCGATAGAAAGCGGTAAATGTGTTTTTGGCGAAGCTTCTGCGGAATAAAACTTGCAGGATTTTCAGCGGAATTTTTTACATCGACATAGATTTTGGAAGTACAATTAGATTCTATGAGTCTGTTTGGCACAGCTCCAACTCCAGCCCAGCTAAACAATTTCAGCTCCACCTGATAGGGAGCGTAGCTGGGTGGAGCGCTCTCACGAAATAAACTAGGAAGGTGGAGCAGGGTTTAGGAAGCTCCATAACTCCACTCCAGACTAAACTCTTAGAGCTAAATTTAGAAATTGGAGCTGTATCAAACATGGCCTATATGCAATTATTATTTTCACTATCAAAATACCCGTGATGAAGAGATTTTTCATTGTAAAGGTTATCACTTATTGCAAGTTGCAACATACAAATATATTTTGTTTGTATAATATATATTTAGAGTTTATGCCTTAAAAAAATGAATTTTAGCGGTTTGCCTAATGAAAAGCTGTAATGGACGGGGAAATGTGGATATCCATCCATCTACAACCATTGACATTCAAGTAGTCTTAAACTCGAATTTCAATGTCTAACATCCCCTCTCCCCCTCTCCTCAACCAATAAAGAAAAAGCACGCCCTCATCTTTCAATTGTTCACCTCACATCTCAGAAAGTTCGAGCCACCGGCCCACCTTTCAAACCACCGATGACATGACATCCTGGCTCTCTCCTCTCCCGCGTCACTGCTGCTCATCCTCACATACCTTAGACACGCCTACGCCCCTCCCTCCCACACACCATCGCTATTGACATCGCAGGGCAAGATCTCCAGTTCAGCTTGAATCGATTGTCCTGTCTCTAGCTACTAGCTTAGGTGCATCATCCCCACTCACGCGCCTCGAGATTCAGGAACTTTGGCCTGGTTTAGTTGGTGAAATGAAAATTTTTGAGTGTCACATCGGACGTTTGACCGGATGTCGGAAGGGGTTTTTGGACACAAATGAAAAAACTAATTTCATAACTCGCCTGAAAACCGCAAGACGGATCTTTTGAGCCTAATTAATCCGTCATTAGCATATGTGGGTTATTGTAGCACTTATGGCTAATCATGGACTAATTAGGCTCAAAAGATTCGTCTCGCGATTTACATGCAAACTGTGCAATTAGTTTTTCTTTTTATCTATATTTAATGCTTCATATATGTGTCCAAAGATTCGATGTGATGTTTTTAGGAAAAAATTTTTGGAACTAAACAAGGCCTCTATAGAAATATGGAGAGGAAACTAGTTGTATTGGGATATCGAGTGTTGAATATAAAGAGTCTACTGGAGCGTGCAGAAATATAGAAATGGTATGTTAAGGAGAATCACTCATATGGATGGAAGAAAAGCTTGTTGACTCTAAATTTGATCCAACACTCGAATGCCTGAGAGATTTACTTGACTCTAGTGTAGATCCTAAATTTCAGGTTCAAAGCATACCTTAGTTGACTCTAAATTTGATCTAACACTCGAAGGCCTGAGAGATTTATTTGACTCTAGTGTAGATTCTAAATTTCAGGTTCAAAGCATACTGGAATTTAGGATATACACTAGAGTCGAGTAAATCTCTCAGGCCTTCGAGTGTTGGATCAAATTTATAGTCAACTAGGTTGATCCTGTATGTTTTGATCAGTAAAGAAAGATACTTCGATTGTTTATACGTTATATAAGCTTAGCCGATGATAGCACATTTCTTTATCAAAAGCAATCTTACTATATCGGACTTAACGGAGATAATATAAAATTGAAGTTGATAAGAGGATATTTAACTACTGAGTATACACAATTAATAACAAAATTTTACTTAATTAACTACAATCTAATAGATCAGATTCAACCCAGTACAAGATTGATAGCAATAGGTAGATCTAATTAAGCCGATAGATTCTATACAAAGTAATGGATATATAAGTCAAGCTAAGATAGCAAAACAATCAAAGAAAAAGCGGATATATGGGAAGACGGTGTTTGT